GGGGGGGGGGGGGGGGGGGAGAGACTTTTGGCTTCATGCAAGGAAAGCAGCAGAAGCAGCAGCAGAAGTCTTTCTCCTAAACTCCGCCAGAAATGAGTCTTTGTGAGACCTGTCGTGCCAGTGCAACCTCTTGGAGCAAGATGCCTTGCAGGGTCCCAAAGACTCATTTCTGGTGGAGTTTGGGGGAGAGAAAAAAAGACTTTTGCTGCTTTCCTTACATGCAGTCAAAAGCAGAAGAAGAAAGAAGCGGGAAGAACCAGCCCGGTGGCCAGGTCAGGCGCATAGGGTAAGTGGGGCAAGTTCCCCGCTCTGCCCTTTCCCCTCTCCCCTCATTTCCTCATGTTGTTTGCAATGCAAGCGACGCAAGTCTTGTGTTCCCATGGGCCATGTGGGTGGCGCAGCTTTATGTTCCCCCACAGCCTGGATTAATTGCTTTGGAGGGTATTTCTCTGCAGACCACCAAAATTTTCTCGCGGATCACCAGTGTCCCCAGCCCACTGGTTGGCGACCACTGCCATAGACCATAACATGGCAGGCTCCCCTGTTCTCCACTGTCTGCTGGAGTTTGTTCAAATTCATGTTCATTGTATCAGTGACACTATCAGATCAGTGATATCTCATTCTCTACTGTCCCCTTCTCCTTTGGCCTTCGATCTTTCTCAACATCAACTCCTCTCTTCTTATTAGATGGCCAAAGTATTTGAGCTTCATCTTCAGTATCTGTCCTTCCAAAGAACAGTCAGGGTTGATTTTCTTTAGGATTGACTGATTTGATCTCCTTGCAATCCAAGGGACTCTCAAGAGTCTTCTCCAGCACCACAATTCAAAAGCATCAATTCTTCAGCATTTAGCTCTCCTTATGGTCCAACTCTTAAAACCATACATCATAGCTTTGACTATATGAACCTTTGTCAGCAATGTGATGTCCTTGCTTTTAATATGCTGCTTAGGTTTGCCATAGCTTTCCTCCCAAGGAGGACATGTCTTTTAATTTCATGGCTGCAGTCACCGTCTGCAGTGATCTTGGAGTCCAAGAAAATAAAATCTGTCTCTGCTTCCAATTTTTTCCCTTCTATTTGTTGGGAGGTGATGGGAGCAGATACCATGATCTTAGGTTTTTTAATATTGAGTTTGAAGCCAATTTTTGCACTCTCCTGTTTCACCACCATTAAAAGATTATTTAGTTCCTCTTCAGTTTCTGCCATTAAAGTGGTATTGTCTGCATATCTAAGGTTCTTCATATTTCTCCTGGCAGTCTTAATTCTGGCTGGTGATTCATCCATCCCATCATTTTGCATGATGTACTCTGCATATTAGTTAAACAAGCAAGGTGACAGCATGCAGCCTTGTCATACTCTTCTCCCTATTTTGAAACAATCAGTTGTTCCATATCCATTTCTAACTGTTGCTTCTTGACCCACATACAGGCTTCTCGGGAGACAGGTAAGGTGAACTGGTACTCCCATCTCTTTAAAAATTTGCCATAGTTTATTGTGATCCACACAGTCAAAGGCTTTAGCATCTTCACTGAAGCAGCAGCTATTTTTCTAGAACTTCCTTGCTTTCTCCATAATCCAGCAAATATTAGCAATTTAATCTCTAGTTCCTCTGCCTCTTTGAAACCCAGCTTGTACTTGTTCCTTCTACTAATTTCTAATTAAATTTATTTCAAAGGTCATAGGCAGTACTACCCAGAACATTGTGGCTGGTTTAAGATTGTCAGTAATGGGTAGACAATGATACTTTATTTTTAATTGTTGCTTTAATTTTTTTCTTGAATATTTTCAGGGTTTGTTGTTAGATAGATTATTAATATAACTTGTTTTTCAAACCATGATTTAATGTATTTAAAGAATGCAGGCAGGCATTTATTATGATAACATTGCTAAGATCCACAACCAAAGTAATATTCAGAAAGGTCTTACTCTAATTCTTTAGTTCCAAGCTAAATAAAAAGTTACTTATTTTTTAGTTGCCTGAAGACTACATATCTTCCCTTTGCCACAAGAGGGCAGACGGGCAGTTGAGGAAGATTACCAACCACAACTTGAACTATCTTTTATGATTAAATTAATAGGATTGCGTTGCTTCTTAAAGCGGTTATTCCCTATTTATTTAATTTGGTATAACATAAACAATTTTTTATCAAAGTGTTGAGAATCAAAACACATGCATTGGAACTTCTAAAAATTGAGGAATTTACTGGTGTAGATGGTTATGGCTGGTTTCTGCTGGGCAATATTGAACTTTAGGATTTAAGTTCATAGGCCATGGGTACTAAATCCTGATGCTCAACCTTGCCCAACAAAGGAATTTCTTTCAAAATATAGTTACTTGTCTCTTTTTTAGAATTCAATAAATTATTACACATAACGGTATAGCAATGATGTTCATTAGAGGAACTGCATGTTCAGTCTATAAAGAAATGTGTACGTAGAGTCATTTGTCACTGTATTAACTTGACAGTAATTTGGCTAACAAAATATTAGAACATACAGCAAAAAATCTTGGAAGTATGAATTTGTACATTAAACTGAAAAAGTGTTAACCACAGCAGATAACATAGTGTTTTATATCCTTAATACAATCATTCAATGAATATCAGAGTGAAGAATACTTATGCCTCAGTAAATGCATACATTGGATGCTGATATATAGTCTCTGATGTGGCTATGTGATAATAGCAAGAGTCATGATTAGCAACCTTTGACAACTATTTCTACCTGTTGGAAATCTGTGTTGATTTTCATAGATAAAAAATATACTATTCACACACCATGCGTTCTATGTTATGTTTTGTCAACATCTTCATATATACAGGCCTGATTAAGAGGAAAAAATAAACCAATTAAATGAAAAAATACAAAAGGTATTCATCTAGAATTACTTTATGAAAAAGTCTATTTGGATTTTGTTCTTGATTCACTGAAGATTATAGAGTTCTCAGAATTACATATTTTTTTCTATACAAAGAATGCTACAACGCATCTGCAAACAACTGGATGTAGACTAATTGAATCAAGATATTACTTACTTTCAATTTGTCAAATAAGTTACAAAAGAACTTGAGCAATTGAATGACTTAAAATATTTTCCTGGTACATGAGAAACAGAATTTTTCTGTTCTGTTCATATATTCTCATAAGGAATTTAGCTCTTAACCCTGAATAAATTCTGCTTTCCCTGGATCTCAAAAGGATATTGTAGTCTTGAAATTTATAATCCTGTACTCCAACTCTTCTCAGCTGTGTGATATTAAATCCAGAGGCAATAAGTACAACAATCAAAATAATGGAAGTTAGATATTGTCTGCTAGAACACTGTGAGAGAAAAGTGGCTTATTTAGAGGAGATCATTTGGAGACTGAGGGAGAAAAGATAACTGAAGAGAGAACAGTAGACAGATGTTGTCCATTTAAGATTAATGTTCTTGTAGAAAACTGAATGGATAACATAAAAGATTTTGTCTGGTGTTGCATCATGCTTTCTAGTTTCTCAAAGTTAGACATATTTGAAATAATTCACCTCTTTAATACTGTACTGATATTTTGTAGAGTAGACTAAAAATTGACTACTTTTAAATCATTCTTATATTATTGATCACAGGGGGCAGACCTAACTTTTTTGAGTCTCCAGCATCCTGGCCTTCCTGAAAGTGTTAAGCAGAAACCATTGTTTACAATCCGTGTCACAAATATTGATGAAATGGCGAAAACTTTTCTAAAGTAAGTGGAATTAGACTATCTGCTCATGAATCCTCTTTGTTGATCAAAAATATTTTATATACCTATTGGCTTGAGGGTTTGTTTGTATTTCTCCAGCATAAATATTAATACCTGATTAGAAGTACACATAACAGAATGTTAATATATGACTATTTGTAGAAGATAGAAACTGCTCCAGAACACACAGAAAAATGCATAAGTACATCTAACATTAATTACTCTTTCTAAAAAATGCAATTTTGAATTTTTTGAAGAGTGGTACAATACAATTCAAAATGGCATCTTACTTTTTTTCATTTCAGGTCAAAGCTAATTTTTCCTTCAAATTGCAGTTTTATATAATTAAAACAAAAAAAGAATTGCAGAACTATATGTAAGGTAGCTCCCTCAGAAATATTGAAACTATAGGTCCAAGAATTCCAAACCAGTTCTTAATACATATGAAGAAAATTTGATTAGTTAAGACTAGTTTAATAGTTTCATTTCAACAGTGAGAATTGATTGGCAGTTACATTATTGTTTATAAAGGAAAATCTGTAAATAGAGGAAAAGACTTGCCAGTTTCTTACTGTAATGGTTATTTCATGCTTCTCTCTTATTCTTGTTGCTGTTTCTAGAACTTTAATGATAGTCTAATAAATGTAAGAGATTAGAAATAAATCAATATGAAATATTTGGGGTAATAAGAATAATATTTATTTATTTATTTTTATTTGTCAAACATGTACAAGATAACAAGTATAGGTATGAACATAAACATGAACAAAGGAAGTAAATTCAGATAAATGGAGACAGTAAGACAGGGACAGTAGGCATGCTGGTGCACTTATGCACGCCTCCTTTAAGGACCTCTTAATAATGGGGTGAGGTCCACGGTAGACAGTTTGAGATAAATGACAATATCATGGTAGACAATATGCTATAATCTTCAAAAATAGTAGATTATAAGATATAGAGACTGAGATAATATATCACTTTGATATACAATGTAGTTTATTTGGCTTTGCCTTGGTATGTTTAATGAATTTAGAGATGAGTAGTAAATTGTAAGGTATAAGTCATTTTTTGGCTTAGTATATTTGCATATCATATGTACCTATCCTATGGTGGCTTGTTCAATAATCCATAATAGGCAGTTTGTGGACTGGGTCAGTAAGTACCAGTAGGAGCAGGAATATTAAAGATTTATATAAAATAGGTGTTGGTGAGGAGTTTTGCTAATGTAACAATCAGACTTTCAAAGAAACATCTTTGGCATCTAATGGATTTCTCGGAAGTAAAGATAAAGAAGATGGTTGTGATCTCAGCTAAGCCTGGCATGATACATCTTGAATGGATGATTGCAAGTATCTATGGGTCTGTATTAAAAGAAAGTTCAGAAATAGTTTGTTCAGATTGTGGCTACTAAAGTGAAAAGTGGTAAAATGGAGGAAAATAATATATATTCAGTATCTTCTAATGCAGGGGTCTTCAAACTTGACAGCTTTAAGACTTGTGGACTTCAACTCCCAGAATTCCTCCTTCAGTCATGTTAGCTCAGGAATCCTGGCAGTTGAAGTCCACAAGTCTTAAAGTTGCCAAGTTTGAAGACCCTTGTTCATTATGGTTATTTCGAGCACTACTTGATTGCACAGTGTTTTTTGGGGTTTTTTTTGCCTTTGCAGATTTAATAGATTCATTAAATGTTTTTAGATAATGTCTGACAATGCAATTTTTTTCTGGTCTGGAATCCTATGTGACTGTGTTTAGTTGCCACTTTAATTTCCTAGAGTATTTCCATATTAATAGCCATGTGATGCAGTGTGGAAAATCAATAGCAGTTCCAGATTGCTTTGGTACTGGTGAAGAGCTGTTGTTACTACCTAGCACTCGTCCTGGCTAAGTCAAAAGTGCATGCCAAAATAAACCAACAATGAAACACTAAAATGCACAAATCAAGGACCTGGACCTGGTTGTGATATGAAGCCTAATATAATGCAAAGTATAGTATAGCTTTGATACTATCACACAGTAACAACTCAAATCTATTAACACAAAATCCCCTTCCTCTCTCATATCTTCTATTATCCCTGACTAGAAAATATACCCAAATGAGATTATTGATTTAATTCTCAAGATTCACCTTGAACAAATTAAAACTTTGTTTCTTTTAATTCCTCAAGAAACAGAATATTTCTGAACTTGCTTTTTTCTAATACATATACTCAAAACTAGAATTTATAACTCATAACTGGAATTTATCTCTTTAGATAAGGTGAAATTACTTATCTACTGGACTGTTTCACCTGTAATCTGGTTAAAATGTAGCTTCAAAGTTCAAAAGAAGGGTCTGTACTCTATTATAAAACTATCAATTTGGGCTATCCTTTGCTCAAGCTGAGTGAGATTTAATAATCACATGCACTGGGTAACAAATAACCCCTGTATTTCAAAAACTGTCCAACCTCTCAAGAGTAAATACAGATCTCTTTGTTGCATCTATGAAGCCATCCTGCAATGCTTTACTGCCTACATATATTCCTGCATAAAATACTTTCATGTCTTGCTACATTTGGGAGGCTAATTTTAAAACTTTAGAATAACTTTATTTCAAAGTTTTTAGATAATATGAATCCATATAAAATATTTTACAAGCAGAAAATCTGTTTTTCCTAATTTATATGTAGAATATACATATCTAAGAAAATAACCTTCTGTATTTATGACTGCTCAGCAAATGTGTATATTTTAGGACCTATAATGTGGAAAATGAGGAAAATCCTATCAAGGAAGAAGATGATCGGAAGAAAACTTTGAGGAATGTTCAAGGTTTGTATATTCTGTTTGCTATAAATTCTCATCTATGAGTTCTTTAAAAATATTTTCATGGAACCTAGATTGTATTTTATTCTATGGTAATTATATTTCAGTATACTTTCAGAATAGGCTTTTGATTGTAGATAATATATTTTTTTGATATAGAAAAAATAGTGAGAATTTTCTTTGATATTAGCAATGTTCTCTCAGAATGGGATAATTCTTTATATGCAGAACATATAAAGGATAAATTCTAGGATAAATTCTGAGCATTTCCAGTAATTCCCTAATATAGCAGGATTAGAAAATAATCCTTCAATTTATCATACTATATCATTAAAAGGCAATATTGAGGCAGATTAGGTCACACTTTTACATATTTAAAAACAATTACTATACTTAAGAGAAAAGCATAATTTTAATCCACCATTTTAAATTTCTTCTCTAGATAATTTGAGAACAAAATTAAGTAAAAGAGGAGTTCGTATTGTTTCAGGACTAGGAAAATATTTCCGTGAACTGGACAAGAAGCAAAATAGAATTATTACAAAAGCAGACTACAGGCAAGCATTAAAAGCATTTCATTTAGAAGTGATTGAAGAGGTATGTTGAAATCCTTATATAAGCGAGTAGATATAATTTAATAGGCATTACTTCAACATGGTGCGATGTAATTGAGCAATTTGCAAAGATTGAAAGATACAATTTACCGAAAAGGAATAGGCCAGATAAAGTGGAAGGATGAGATGGTGTTGTATTGAAGAACATGTATAATTTTTCAGATTTGGGAATTTAAGAGACTCCAGTTAGACTTTTCATATGAGGAAAAAACATAATATTATTGCAGGATGGTCTGTGGACTGCCAAGTCAGGCAGAAAATCTTGATAATGCCCTCCAATTTCATAATTTTGGGCTATTTTGCATTGTGCTTTTTACAGTCATTATTTTTATTTCTTATGTATTTCAATCTGATGTTACCCCACATAAGTTTAATTAACAGGTTAGACAATATGAATGCATTCATATATAAATAAATATAATACTAAAAGGATTTAGTTACTTGGACATTCATGAAAAATAACTCTTGAGCTTGGGGAACAGTGCAATTGCCCCTCAGGCAGGACCAGCCTGCTGCTTACTTTTAGGCCATATTCTCTTTCTTTTGATAGGCCCCCGTGGCCTACCTGCGGCTACTCTGGGATTTATGAGGCCTTCATTCTTGAAGTAGCTTCGAAGAATGCTATTCTGTATCTCCGAAAACCATGTGAAACCATGCCCCATTCTTGCATGATTTTCAGAGGCTCCAGAGGATCCACAGCCCTCTCATGCAACTTTTGGTGGGTCTAAAGGCTGAATGCAGCACACCCCATTTTTCCACACTGTAGCCTCCAAAAATTGCACAAGAACAGGATACATTTCGAGAATAGTTATTGGTTGTTGGTGAATGCTGGCATGTCATCCAAAACATAGTGATGTATCACTTTTGACATGCATGCTTCATCTTCACTGTTCTAGCCAATAGGAGAGAGCTGTAACATAACCTGGAGATAAATTACTATTTACTTACCTGATTGTTGCTGATATAGTGAATATGAAGAAAGTGAATGAAGCTAGTTAGTCTTTCTCTTCCCTTCTACAACCTGATGGATTGTTTGATCTGCTGCTTTGGTGACACCTGAAACACTAAATATTAATGTTGGTATTTTAATATTCAATATCAGGTTTTTTAAAGAAATGCCCAATTTTTAGATGACTGCCCTGAAACATTAATTTGGGTTTTGCTAATGTTTATGTCACAGTACTTATATTGTTAGTTATACATGCAGCACTTTGTACAACAATTTGACTTTGTATTTAAAATTTAGGAATTTGAATCTTTATGGTTAGTTCTACATGAGGACAATAATGGTGAACTTGATTACACTGAATTTACACGTGCTATTCTTGGAGAAATGAATGAATACAGAAAAGCATTTGTTAGGAAAGTAAGTATTTTAAGACTATAATTCATATATTAAAAAGTTGAATACTCTTAATCTGTATAATGTTTCACTGATTTTGGGTGGGAGAATGTTAAGATTTGGTTTACTGTGAGAAAAAATCTTTCTTTGTCCTCTGAAGAAAATCGTTAGTGTGAAAATAAGTGAGTCAGTGAGAAAATTCTTTATTGTTTATGCAACAGTGGAAATGTGTTAAGGAATTGGTAGTATTGAGAAAAAAAATCTTTCAGATTTATAAGTAGAAAATATATTGTTATAATATTGATTGAACAAAATTTACTGTCCTGAGGAAAATTTAAAAGCTTACTTGCACTAAAGTTGATTTCAGTTAGGTGTACCAATTTCTTCTTTAATTTCTTTCTTTTTCCAAACATTTAGGTAAGGTCAGTTATTCTACAAATATAGATTCTACATGCAGCATGTTGATTTAGTTTTGTTAATATTACTTTGTTTATTTTTATATAAAAATACCAGATTTGTATAAACATTTTTTTCCATATATTTGATGCTCACATTTTTTTCTGATTATTTTTAGGCTTATATGAAGCTGGATTACAATAAAATTGGCAGGGTCCCTATGGTAGATATAAAGAAATGTTATTGTGCTAGAAAACATCCTCAGGTTATAGCAGGTATCTATATACTACTAAAACTCTTGTTGTCATAACTAGGTGAAACAGTGCATTAGAAGGGCAAACATTTTTGAATCTAGGTACCTCAAATCAGCTAATTTACAGATCTAAATCTGGGACCCATGACTCCCAAGGGAATGAAATTTGTGGCTGCTTCAGTACTACTGGCTGTTACTGTGGTCATGTGATCTTCATTTTCAGTGTTCCATGACAGTTTCCCAGCCAGTTTTGCAGTTCCTCGCTGTAGTCCCCACCTAGCAGCAGCCATTTGCTTGCATCTTTCTTGACCTATTCCACTCTCCCGCAGACCCTACCCATCCCACCCTCACCTCTTATATACCCATGGGCATCCTTCCCATTCACCTGTTTACCCTCCCAACCCATTCGACATCTATGGCACACACCCACATATCCTTCCAAACCTAGATGGCACCTCTCACACATCCCATATACATTCCTAACCTGAACCCACACCTGGCATTAGCATCTTACTTGACTGCTGCCCTTGATCTGGCAACTTCTGCTGGTTTCCCATCTTACTTTTCCTGTGCAAGCTTCCCACAAGCAAAATGAATGGAAAGCTATCAGAAATTCAAGGGAAGGAGAAAGGGAGAGGGATGGGAGGAAGGGAGGAAGGGATGGGGAGGAAGGAAGATAATAGCAGAATGACATGGAGTGAGGGAAAGAGGGGAAGGGAAGGAGAGAAGGCAGGGAAGTAAGACTGGGAGGGAGGGAGGGAGGGAGGGAGGGAAGGAAGGAAGGAAGGAAGGAAGGAAAGGAAAGGAAGGAAGGAAGGAAGGAAGGAAGGAAGGAAGGAAGGAAGGAAGGAAGGAAGGAAGGAAGGAAGGAAGGAAGGAAGGAAGGGGCAATAATAGGAAGGGGGAAGAAAGGAGGAGGGGAGAAGGAAAGAAAGAAGGAAGATCAATTTCTGATGCTCCCTACCAGCTTCTCACTAGGAAAGTCAAGGGGAAGTCAGCGGGAAATCACTGCCAGTCTCACTGCTTTCTTGCCTGTCTGTGGTCATTCTGTTTTTCTGTTTAGGTAAGGAAATATCTCTGAAATGATGATCCAATATGGCACAGTCTAATTACTAATGAAGTAATTATTGGTTTGTATTGCTACCATTTCTTAGGTGCAGAGAGATTATAGCCATTATAGTCATTCAGTTTAAGAAAGACTTTAATTTATTATATCTGCTTTGGGTAATCCTTATTATATATCTTCAATCTTTTGGGGCAAATTTACATTCTACCTCTGAGCTTCTAAAATTATTTGATTTTAAGATCCTTACCATGGAACTGTATTCTAATGGTAATTTCTTTAGCTGTATGGCTTTCCAGACAGACTGACATTACTTATTTTTTTCTGCAGATAAGGACTATTCATTATGCGTATATCATGTTTCCATTACATCAGCCTTAACGTTACTAAATAATTTGCAAGCACCTGCTTTTTCAGCACCTGCTTGATCATTCAAAAATATTATAAACATACCTTTTAAAAATGGAATGGAAAGAAACAAGAATATTTTTTTAAAAGCTCAAGATGATTCAGTATGAGGTATTTAATTCATATGCAGTCTCAAATATTTGCCTGCTGAATGCAGTTATGCTGATAGCATAAGACAACATTCCTATGTTGATCAAAGGAATACCCAAGACCAGATTCATTTTTCAATTAGCTGCCAACATAATGATGCTATTTTCTTTCAGCATCTTCGGAAATCTTTACAACCTGAGCATGCCCAGGGCCTTCATTTGGTGTATATTGTAGTCTACTATATTTGGAGAAAGATATTGCAAAGTTTGGGGTGTAGGCTTAAAGTATGAGACAGAATTATTGTAAGCATCTGTGCAGTGACATTATAAAACAAAACAATCCCTCTATTTTGTATTTACATACTGCTGTTGTATGCTAGTATCTAAGTAACAACAATTTGCATTGTGCCATGGTGATGCACATTTTGTCATTTGCCTCCTGGACTCCTACACAAGTCACTTTTACTAAGATATCCCTTGAATGTTCTGTCTTTACTTGCTTTTCTTAGGAAATCTTTAACATAGTCTGGAACACAGGTTTAATTTTTATTTTTTAATATTTTACTGCAACTTTAACATACTCAGTAACAACTTTAATAGTAAATATTTTAACAGGTAATGCAACACAGGAAGAAATTAAATCTTCATTTCTCGAAACACTGGAGGATGCCTGCAGCAATCCCAGTGAAGTTTCTTTTGGTGAATTTGAGGATTATTATGAAGGATTAAGTATTGGCATTCTGGATGATGAAGATTTTATTAACATATTAAGGAATTCCTGGGGAATTTAGAAGTGAAAATTTTAATGTTAAAAATTAGGAATAGAGACTCTGAACATTTGTTAAATTCTAAATAGCTTTAATAAATTGGCCTTCCTCATCTGAAGGTACAGTAATGTTTAAAGCATGGCTTGTTTCTTTTCCTGCAGCATTAAAATAGTATTTTTTTTCTCAAATTGCCTCAGACAATATCACATGTAAAAGAATAATATGTTTAATCAATGAATTGTGAAACTGGGTAGATAGATAGATAGATAGATGATAGATAGATAGATAGATAATAGATCGATCTTTGGTTATTCGGGTTTTCTCCCGCGTAAAATTGGAAGTATCTAGGCGACCTTTCGATGAAGTCTCATTCACCATCTTCAGGCTTGTGTCTTCAGCTTTGTGCTTCTCAGAATAATGTGAGCTTGCAGCTGCTTCTTCCTTTTAACTGCTAGTGGGGGTGTGACTTGATTGGGTGGAGGCTTGGCTGTGTTCTGATTGGATGGGGGTGTGTTCTCATTGGTTGGGGGTTTGGCTGTGTTCTGATTGGCTGGGGGTGTGTTCTGTTCAGGTGGGGGCTTGGTTGTGCTCAGGTTAGTCTTAGTTGGTGGGGGATTTGAAGCACAAAGCTGAAGACACAAGCCTGAAAATAATGAATGAGACTTCATCGAAACGTCGCCTAGATACTTCCAATTTTACGTAGGAGAAAACCCGAATAACCAAAGATCCACATACAAATACCCGCGAAAACCTCAGAATATATATATATGTGTGTGTGTGTGTGTGTGTGTGTGTATGTATATGTATATATATACATACAGACACATACAGACACATACATGTAGGTCTAGGTGTGTTCGGGTCTTTTCCCGTGTAAGATTAAGAGTATCTTGGCGACATTTCGGCGAGGTCCCACTTGCCATCCTCAGGCTGGTGCTTTCGGCTTCGTGCCAGTGCAAGCAGAAACCGAAAGCACTAGCCTGAGGATGGCGAGTGGGACCTCGCCGAAACGTCGCTAAGATACTCTTAATGTTACATGGGAAAAGACCCAAACACACCTAGACCTACATACCTGTACCCGTGAAAATCTACGAAAATATATATATATACATATACATATACATATACATATACATATACATATACATATACATATACATATATATATACATTTATACATACACACACAAACACACACATGATAGAACTATAATGTTGTGCTATGTCAAGGGTATAGTTAAATAATTGTATCATATATGTCATATATGAAGGCCCTTTATTAAAATGAAATTTTTTATTTTAGTTGTCCTGGTAGTGACTGTTTTAATTCCAGAATATATAAGCATAGAAAAGTTTAGGTTGATTCTATCTATCCAGATAGAATAGCATGTTTAAGTGATTTTTTTGTTATATTCTGTTTATATGTTAACAAGATACATTTTGTTTTAGTTAATTTAGTGCAGTCAGATTGTACAGATAGGCTTTTATGAATATATTCTTAGAACTTTTTAAAAGCATATGAATGTACATAGAAACAAAAGTGTCTCATTGTGTACTTTGTAATTCACTAATTCCACTGTTTATATGTGTGGGGTTTGTACTTAAAATATATTATAATGTGCTTTTTAAATTCATCTAAATACTGTATCTAGATTTTTAGTATATGTTAATTAATATTAACATTTAGTATATGTTAATTTTATATTGTAAACAAACCATTTTGAAATTACTGTATTTTGATTTTAAAAATGGTGTATTCCTTCAGTATGTTATAATTCAGTTCTACAATTATCATAATTCATTAACTTTGCTAAAAAGGATTCACTTTAAATTACAGTTTAATTGATCTTAACTCTAATTTGTTGCCAGAACCTTTTCGGAACCCAAAAATTGATTCATCTCTGTTAAATCCTGGACACGCAGACATGAAGTTTTGGAGATCATTTAGAATACTATGAATCAGTCTTATATGATCTGTGCTGTTTAGACATCCTCAAGGCCACATAACAGTAGTATTTGTCTTCACTTCCAAGTCTTGAGAGCTTGAACTTGGGAGGTTGGGAGGGAAAAAAGTCATGCTGTTTTAAAACCATTTCATGAATTGAGTCAAAATATATTATCTGTAGGCTAAGATATTTGAAAAGCTCATTCAAGTCACAACAGACAAATGCTGCTGGGGTTGTGTGAAAGCTGTGTTCAGTTTGTTTGCAGCACATTTAATGTTTCACCTAAAGGGAAAAAATGGAATCTTTCTATACATACACTCATCAGGATGCATATCGGGATTGTCTGAATGGAACTCAGGAATCTCAGCAAGGATTACTGTTTCAATCTTTATTGACTCATACATTCCATTGGAAAACAATGCCTTTCTACTAACAAAAGATGAAGGGAAATAGGCCGATGTCAAGAGAGTAAATTACTGAATGACAGGATTGAGGATCCTTCAGATATAATTTTCTAATTGAGCAGATTAGATAGCTGCCAAGAAGGTATATAAGGAACAACAGAGGAGAAGACATGCAGAGGGAGGTTTCAGAGCAATCCGTATTTATAGAAATAGTGCCTAGTAGTCTTGGCAGCCTAGTTCAGGGTACAATATGCTTTCAGTGCCTGAAGATGAGAATAACAGAATATGACTTTACTTTTTATTTAGCCAATTTTAATGTGATATTTTTTCGGAAGACTTGGATGCAAGAAGGAACTAATCTTAATGGATTTTATTAGATCTCCCTGACAATAAAAGGGAGTCAAGGCAGGAGATACAACAGTGAGAACTCTGAATATTTATTTCTACTAAATTCTAAGTTTTGGAAATTAATCTTGCCCAGTTGAATTTTGCAATAGCAGCATTAATAAAATTTAGCACATCTTATGGCACATCAAACCCCCCCCCCATAATCTGCTTAAGAACTAATCATCATTGATATGTCAGTAATTTCAGTGTCAGAAGTAGGTGAGTAATGCAAAGAATTTCCACAATGCCTTCCACATCTAGAATCTTTTCACTTTGCTGCTTGCCATTCTCAATCTGCTACTATCTAACTATGCTGAATTGTACTTAGTGCAGATCTTCAGCAGGCTGAATCTGATTATTTTAAATGGTGTCACTTAAGGGAGATTTTCTAGGAGCATTTATTTGGGGAAATGTACATCTATGACTACTTTTGGGTTATAGTGACTGGGATTTACAACTTGCTGTAATTTGTAAATAGTAGAAAGCTGATTGAAAGATTACTGCTATCATGAACTTCAAGCCTCCATGAAACAGGGCAAGAAATATGTTTTTCATCCTGCAATATAAAGCAGATGTAGAACTGCTACTTATTTAAGGTAGTTAATGCAAATATGGCAGAAATGTTGAATTTGATGCAAATTTTACAACTTGGAGCATTTATTGTAGAGCCACTGATTGATTCAGTGTCCTCAAGTAGAATATTCCTTGTTAGCTGATTTCAGTTCATAGATAATTAAGGACAGTGTTAAGTATAAAATACTCTGAGTAATGCAGTGCTAATTGTAACTAAACATCAACGTGGATATTTCTAGGTTTTTTAAATAGTATACAAGTACATGATTGCAAACTAAAATAGTTAGCTATAGAGCAGGGCTTGATTCATTTACTAACTTCAGCAAAGTTCAACAATCCTCCCATTTGAAAAATGGTATCTGCTATTCTATATACTTTTACCTGATCTCCTATGTCAGCAGGAAAGTGGAAGGAGTTCATCCATCTGGGATATGTAGGAAATTTGAGCAGAATGGTTTTAGAAAGATTTGGTCTTCTTCCATCTTGGCCCTTATATTAATATCCAGGTTTCCAAACTGGAAGTCTGCTTAAGAGTTACCTTGAGGTAAGATGGGTGGCCTATAAATTTTATAAACAAGGTAGGCAGTCTTGTTATTTGCAAAGATGAATAAAACCTAGACTGATAAGCTCCAATTTTGGCTTCATAATTCACAGATATAAATTAAACCTCCTGGAAATTGCAATGGAAATTTATTTAAAGCTCATGACCCCAACTTTATATGGCCAGAGACAAAATTCTATTTGGTAATCTGCCACATAATCCGGAAATGGAACAGAAGAGAGGGAAAGCTAGGAAGAAGGGGATAAGGATAATAGGGATGTGGAGGGTAATATTTCAGCATTTTACCATGTTAGTAATCTAGTATTCTGTTTTCTAGTAATCTAATCATTTTTAAAATTTCCCAGTATTTAATACTTCATCCATATTGTACTCCAGCTTTATTTTAACTTCTGTATAGTACTTTATCTTCTTTTATTCCTGTCTAACTGTGCAATAACTATATTAAAGAATTGATTGATTATGAAAATGCACTCTTGGTATATGTAGATTTATTCTGGGAATTGTTTTAATGAGGTATAGAATTAACACATTTCTTTTAAGATTTCTTTCTTGAATACAAAGGCAGATGAAAAATTGAAGGGGGAAAAATCCATAATTCTTGAAAAGAGAGACATTATGTTACTAATTCTCTGTTTGTATTCTGATCATTTAGCTATGTATTCTAAGAAAATGTTCAACTTATAAATAGTTCTATGGTTTAACTTTTAAAAATGAATTAAAATTCAATCATCATTTAAACATTAAATGATTAAATTAAAGTGCATTATTAGTTAAGTATTTAGTCTATATTTCTAAAGATATGGGAAAAAGCACCAGTTAGTATATATCATTTTTATTACAGTTATAAATGAGTTCTGTTTTTAGTGAACAGTTATTGTGATAACATAAAAATATACTATATGTAATTCTTGGGACCTATTAATTAACATTAGTTTGATTTCTATGCTTTATTTCTATTGCAGAAGAAGCAGAACACAAAATACTTTCTCTATTTTAGTTATTTGGATAACTATAGAAAGTAAAATGAAACAGTGCAATTACATGTTCTATGTATTTGTTAACAAATCAAATGATTTGGTTATAGATAATCTTAGTTGATCCCTATTGTAGGTTTGTTCATTATGGGCCTGTATCTCAGTTACATCTTTATCACAGTACAAGCAGTCCTGCACTTATGACCAGAACTGAGCCCAATATTTCTGTTTCTAAGCAAGACAGTTGTTAAGTGAGTTTGCTCCATTTTACAACCTTTCTTGCTACAGTTATTAAGTGAATCACTGCAATTGTTAAGATACTTACACTGTAGTTAAATGAATCTGGCTTCTCCATTGACTTTACTTGTCAGAAGTTTGCAGGATAATTACATGACCTTGGG